TGTCCAAACCGCTGGCATTTAAAGCAACGCAGCGGGTTTGGAATATATGGGCGAACTGAGCAGCGCAAATAGCCTGCTGTAACAAAAGATGGCAATGACGGTTTTCCAAAGGTGAGGATTAGGTGTTTAGTTGGTATCAACTTGCCATCTCGACGGATTGAGATTCGTCGGACAGCAGTGACACCTTGGTCTGAGAGGCCGATCTGAATATCGGATTCGTCCTCAGACATCAAATCGATTTCAGATATCACACCACGTGATGAGTTCAAACTTGTGTGTGGTGTGATGGTGACTTCTATGTCTCCTAAAGATTTTGTCTTCATAAGCTTTTCAGACTGTTGAGGGGAGGCTGCTTCCACGAGCAGGTCTCCTGATCTCAACTTTTGAATTTTTTTAAGATGCCCAATGGTAGATTCAAAAAGTTTCTGAATCAAAAAGGGGGAACGTTTAGAAAGAGTTGTTTCTCCCATAGCATGCACGATGAGATAGGCTGGTTGGTTGGACAAACTGTCCTCCTTTGGTGGTGGTGCATTGGAACATGATTTTTTTAGTTTTAATGAATCCATGTTTAAAAATAAGTATTCAGCTCCTAGTGACCCCACCCACCACGGGGCCCAACAAGGGGATGCCGTCACATGAGAGATTCCCATAGACCGTCACACCAGGGTTTCCCAAGAGCTATACCCTCACGATGCAGTCAAGAAGAGCACATCTAGTCTGACGTGTCCGCCCGGTCTGCATCGATCGGTTGACTCCAAGCCGAGGTCAAGAAAGACTCAACGACCAGCCGATTGACTCAAACGGAGCCTGATTTGAGCCTCCCGTTTANTATACCCTCACGATGCAGTCAAGAAGAGCACATCTAGTCTGATGTGTCCGCCCGGTCTGCATCGATCGGTTGACTCCAAGCCGAGGTCAAGAATGACTCAACGACCAGCCGATTGACTCAAACGGAGCCTGATTTGAGCCTCCCGTTTATCCGAAGCAGAAACCAAAGCAGTGTGTTGGGGACGTTGTGTTGCCCCTCAACTACCAGAATCGCCCTTTCCGGCATACGGGACACCACGCACGGTGAACAAGTGGGTGGGCGTTCAGATCCCAGGGATGGTAAAGAGGAGTTTCTAAACCATCTCTGGGAGGTCCCCTCACCACGGACAGGAACCCACATCGAGGGGGCAGAGCCATAGACAATACATCCATAGTCCAGCTTAGAGTGTACAAGGGCCCTATAAATCCTAAGAATAAAAACTTTGTCTGCACCCCAGGATGAGCAGCATAATACCTTTAAAATATTTAGTAATTTTAAACATCTACTCTTCAAGTTGCGCAAGTGTGGCAAAAATGAAAGTTTTTGATCAAACCATACACATAAAATCTTAGCCTCATTCACAATTGGAATTTTAACCCCATTTAAATACATTTCGAAATCCAGGTGCAAACCACGCCTTCAAAAAAAGTGAATGCACAAGGTCTTCTCTACATTGAAACTAAAACCATTGGTCTTGAACCAATTTTCTATGCGATTAAGGGAGGTTTTCAGTTGTCTCTCAATGAAACTCATGTTGCTAGATTGGCAGAAAATCTAAAAGTCATCCACATAAAGTAAGTGTTTCACACTGAAAGAAAAGCAGTTAGCTATGCTATTAACTTTAATTAGGAACAGAGTCACACTCAAAATACATCCTTGAGGAACACCTTCTTCTTGGACAAAGGACCTAGATAGTGTGTTGCCCATCCTAACTTGGAATCTTCGATTCTGCAGAAAGTTTTTTATGAAAACTGGCAAATTACCCCGTAATCCGAATTCATGCAAATCACAAAGTATTCCGTAACGCCAGCAGCAATCATAAGCCTTCTCTATATCAAAGAATACAGACACTAAGTGCTGTCGTCGAACAAATGCTTCGCGTATAAATGTTTCAAGATTTACTAAATTATCCGTGGTACTTCTGTTCCTACAAAATCCACTCTGATGTAATAAAAAATAATTCTTTTCCTCTAGGAGAAATATCAGGCGTCTGTTAACCATTCTCTCGAAAAGTTTACAGAGACAACTTGCCAGAGAAATTGGTCTGTAATTACAGTAATTCTTGTAATCTTTACCTGGCTTGGAAACTAGAATAATGATAGATAGCCTCCAAGAGTAAAGAAAAGAATGTTCTGTCCATATTCTGTTAAAAAGATGCAGATTAAAAAGGGAATTGTTCGAAAGATATTTAATCATGCTGTAGTGAATTTTATCCAAGCCTACAGCACTATTCCCCGAGCGAGAAATTGCTGTACATAGTTCTATGCTGGTGAATGGCACATTATATTCCTCATTAGATGAGGAATGAAAGTTTAAACACTGTTTTTCTCTTAGGGCTTTACAAACCTGAAAATTCCTTAAATGCATAATATTGCTAAATGAAGCAGAAAATGTTTCACCTAATAAATCAGCAATACCCTGTGTATCGCTGATTATTGTGCCATTATTTTCCAGCAAGTACAGAGAATGAGAAGCATATTTCCCATTAATTTTGTGGATTTTATCCCAGACTGCTTTTGAGCTAGTGGAAGATGTTATGCTAGATACATACTTCCTCTAAAAATCCCTTTGGCTTTGCCTTATTATTTTTCTGGCATTTGCCTTCGCTTTTTGAAAAGCTATCAAATTTCTAGTAGTGGGGTATCTTCTGAAAATTCCCCATGCTTTCTTTTCTGCTTTAAATGCTACCTCGCAATTCTAATCCCACCATAATTTCGGATGCTTTAAGTATCTAGTTGATGTCTTTCCCATTGTTTTTTCTGCTGCCTGAATAATACTGTAAGTGACAACTTCAACTGCATCATTAATATCAGCAGTATTGACCATTTCCTCAGTGATGTTAGCCAAAGAGGAGGATGCAGGCCAATCTACCGTTTCCAGTTTCCAGCGTGGTGGACAGGCTGTTTCACAGCTTTCTCTGCCTTGATATTTTAAAACTATTGGGAAGTGGTCACTATAGAGTGGATTAGATCCAACCTCCCATGAAAATGCTGAAAACAAATTCGGAGTTGCTAATGATATATCAATGGCAGTGAATGTTCTTGATGGGGCATGGAAGTATGTTACTTCTCCAGTATTAAATAGATACAGTTGCTGATTACCTATAAATCTCTCAATGGCCCTGCCTCGACGGTTAATGTCAGGACTGCCCCACATAGAATTGTGACCATTAAAATCACCAAGTAAAAGGAATGGTGTTGGCAGCTGTTCAACCAAGGCATCCAGTTCATTCTCCTTGACTCTGACATCTGGTGGCAAGTATATAGAGCAAACTGTGACAGTTATGCCAATTGAAATTCTGACTGCCACAGCTTGTATCTCTGTTGTTATTTGTACCAATAAGGATGGAATGCGATTTAAAATCAAAATAGCCACACCGCCACTGGCACGGTTGTGGCTATCATCATCCTTGCAGTAGAGATTGAATCCTTTTAAAGTAATTCTTTATCCAGGTTTCAGATGAATTTCCTGGAGTGCCACACAGAGAGATGAAGTAGAGGATGTCAAGTGTTTAATGTCAAAAAAATTGTTGTGGAAACCACGACAGTTCCATTGAATTATTTTATAACCCATTATGTGTTTGAGGTAGCATTCTTTGTAAGAGCATCTCTCTTTAATCTAACTGGGGGTTTTTCTTTTGGAGGTGATATTGGTTGTAACCTCCTGATTAGTCTCTTCATCAGATATATCAGAAATCTCACTCATAGAGTGAGCCTCTGATTTTTTACATTTAGAGAGAGCCGCTTTTACTCTCTGCTTGTTTAGTGGGTTCTTACTAGCCTTTTTATAACCCAAGTTCCTTGTTATTACCCCTGCTTTAGGAAAAGGTGTTTTTGGTTTTATACTCTCCTTTTCTGGTGTTTCTTTTGATGTAATCAGTAAACATTTCGCATGCCTGGTGAGAAATTCCTTTGGGGAAACAAAAATATCGGTTTGAACCCCACATGACTTTGTGGATTTCAAAGCAAAGCAGCAGCAAATGTTTTTTGTTTTAGTGGTGCACTTGAAGTGACCATGCGACGTGCCTCTGGATAAGGTTAAGTTGTTGACTATTTTTACACGATGGATTTCTTTTTCTGTCTGCCATGCAAAGCATTTGCGAGAGTAGGCAGGGTGTGCGTCTTTGCAATTTACACAACATGGAGTAGTGGTACACTCAGTGCTCTGGTGACCTTCCATTCCACACTGTGCACATACATTCTTCCCTCGGCAGGATGTCTGTGAATGTCCAAACCGCTGGCATTTGAAACAACGTAGTGGGTTTGGAATGTATGGACAAACTAAACAGCGCAGGTATCCTGCAGTAATGAAAGATGGCAATGTCAGCTTGTTAAATGTGAGGATAAGATGTTTGGTTGGTATCAATTTACCATCTCGTCAAACAGCAGTGACACCTTGGTTTGAAAGGCCAATCTGAATACCTGACTCTTCTTCAGACATCAGAACAACCTCAGATATCACACCACGAAATGAATTTAAACTTCCGTGTGGTGTGACAGTCACTTCCATGTCTCCCAGTGTGTTTATTGTTAAGAGTTTTGCCGACTGTTGAAGTGAGGCTGTTTCTATCAGTAAATCTCCCGATCTCAATTTTTGAATTTTTTTCAGGTGTCCAATAGTCGATTTAAACAGTTTTTGTATTAGGAAAGGAGAGCATTTCAATAAAGGTTTTTCTCCAGTTGCGTGTATTATCAGATAAGTAGGTTGACTGAAATTGTTTTCCTTGTTTCATGGTACTTAATCTGGTCTTTGTTGTTTTATGGTTTTTGGGTCCATATTAAAAAATAAATATTCAGCTCCTAGTGACCCCACCCACCATGGGGCCCAACAAGGGAATGTCGTCACATGGGAAACTCCCATAGACCGTCACACTAAGGTTTCCCAGGAGCTATACCCTCACAATGCAGTCAAGAAGAGCACATCTGAACTGACAAGACAGAACTGTCAAGCAGGGACGCGTCCGCCCAGTCTGCATCGATCGGTTGACTCCAAGCCGAGGTCAAGAATGACTCAACGACCACCCGAGTGACTCAAACGGAGCCTGATTTGAGCCTCCCGTTTATCCGAAGCAGGGGCCAAAGCAGTGTGTTGGGGACGTTAAGTTGCCCCTCAACTACAAGGATTCCCCTTTCCGGCATACGGGGTATCACGCACGGCAAACACGTGGGTGGGCGTTCAGATCCCAGGGATGGTGAAGAAGAGTTACTAAACCATCTCTGGGAGGTCCCCTCACCACGGACAGGANTTGCCCCTCAACTACAAGGATTCCCCTTTCCGGCATACGGGGTATCACGCACGGCAAACACGTGGGTGGGCGTTCAGATCCCAGGGATGGTGAAGAAGAGTTACTAAACCATCTCTGGGAGGTCCCCTCACCACGGACAGGAACCCACATCAAGGGGTTCTAACTTCAGATCATACATTAATAAACAGACTCATTACAACAGTTACTTCAAATAGATTCCAATGAAATAATAGTTTGCAATAAATTAAAAAAAGAGCATATTACATGCCAAAAATTTCAATGACAAAATGTTAGGTTAGCTTGTGAATTACTTTCTAATTCTACAGCTATTGCTATTAAAAGATACTTTAAAATTATTTAATGAATGAAATGTTTAAAGAGGCAGATTTACTGCAAGAAGTTTCAAATATTCCTTTTTCTTTAGAACTAGACATATATGAAAATTCATGCAATGTAAACGATGATGATTTATGTGATATATCTCAGAAAAATGTAAAATTAAAAAATGATGAATTAGATGAATTAAAAAATGATACATTATTTAGCAGGGTGGATTGAGAGAAAATAAAAAAAAAAAAAAAAATACCAAATTTTAGAAAGTGTCAGTCACCAAAATAAAAATGAACATAATTATACAATGCCCCTAATTCGGAATTTACCTTTTGATGGACTGTCACAACAATCAGAAAATTTCTTTAATTTAGATTAGAAAATGGAATCAATTTTTACAAAAACTGTGAAACTGCATTTGAAATGTAAAACAATTTCATCTATTACATCATTAATTAAACAGACAATTAACTTGCCAGAAGACATTATATACATATACGTAAAGTAACATGTATAGATTAAATTGAAATTTTTTAACAATTTAATTAAATGTGAACGTTCCGCTGTAAAAAGAAAAGTTAACTATAATAACAATAGAAAATTTTTACAAGTTTGTACCTGATTTAATTGTATTTATATAGCATTTAATTTATACATATTTGTGAGTAGCAGATTTTGTCAAATTTGTACAAACCGCTTATACATCTAAATTTTCAATTAATTAACTTCAAAAAAACAGAGGAATTTAAACTATATCCGATTTCACCATTTGTGCAACAACTACCTAAGAAAGTTTACATTTGAGTGTGAAAAATGCACCGACTTCGTCAACAAGAGTCAATGACGTATCAGCTCTCGCACAAAAAAATATAAAAAAGAAGATCACCGTAAGCTCAGGGAGTCCTCAAACGAAATGTATTCTTAGTACTTGTGTTCGTCGATCTCCATGCCAAGAACTGTGATCCCGTCAGAAAAATATACAAGACACCACACACTTCCAAACAGACAACGTTCGCCAACTCTCCCTTCCACCTAAAGGTATTTAGGGGTTAGATTTTATAAAAGCGCTCTCTCTCTGAACTAGAAACTAGGGCAGCGACATAGCTAAGATGGTTGGTTAGTTAGTTGATTTTTATTGGCACAAACGCCATGCAGGCTATACTGCGCCACAACACAAGGTATCATTGAGTGTATAAAATAAATAGGAAAACACATATATACAAAACAGTTTAACCATTAAAAAGCCAATGGTAGTATATATATAAAATCAAAAATATAATAAATATATAAATAAACAACAAAAAATATATACAATAATTTAAATTAAATAAAACTATATAATAAATAAATCATCATATTTCTCTATACATATTAATGACTGTCAGAAAGTCCAGTATATCAACCAAATTTGGCCTCTGGCCCAAAATGTCTCTAAGGCTTGCATTTTCAAAATGCTCTCTACGATTCTGATCAAAAACAACACAGTTGCAAAATATGTGTTTAACACTTACAGTACTGACATACCAATTAATCATCTCCCTTCAAAAGGTATTGATGAGTCAGTCGAGTGTATCCAATTCTCAAACGAGTAAAAACAACCTCATATCTCCTGTCATATAATTTCTTGTGTGTCCAATTCTCTATCAAATGTATGATCTCATGAAGTTTATTGAAAATATGTGCATTCCACATATTTTGCCATCTCTCTGCTAGTCGTTTTTTAACAACTAGCTTCAAATCACTCCCTTCGATAGGCATTTCATGCTGAAAAGGACTTGCTGACTTAGCAGCTGTATCAGCTTCTTCATTACCTCTTATACCCACATGGCCTGGGACCCAACAGAACTTCACAAAAAAATTTCTCGTAGTAAGATGACAAATTAGTTTTCTTATTTTGATAACTATGGAGTGAGAACTACGTTCATACAAGATCAGAGCCTTAAGTGCACTAACTGAGTCAGTGTAAATCACGCAGCAACGATGACCTTTCCTATTTATATATTTTAGGGCTAAATAAATAGCCTGCAACTCCGCAGAAAACATGGAAAAATTTGGTGCTATTTCTTCTGCCACAATTTCATTTTGAAAAACAAAGGCTAAGCCTACATAGTTATCCGATTTAGAACCGTCAGTGTAAATGAAAATTAAATTCCTGTAGTTGTGTTGGATTTCTGCAAAGTGCTGTCTATAGATGTAGTCTAATGTGGATTCCTTAGGAAAACTGCTTTAAGCTAAAGTCAACATTTATCACAGGGGTAGACCAGGGTGGTGTATTATCAATCTCGGCCTGTGAAACGTTGCTTATGTTCAGGTCAATTGTAATGCTTACATTCTCCATTCTTATGTCGAATGTATGGACACAACTCCTCCGAGCAACAAATAATCTTTCCAGCTGAGTATCTGGACAATCAGCTGTAAGTTTTTTCTGAAATTTTCATTTAATGTAATAAAAAAGATACAACTGTTCTCTCCTGAGTGATAGTGGAGGCTCATAAGCATCCACTTACAAACTTTAAACAGGGGAAGTTCGAAAAGGCACCATTGCACAAACGCAAAGCTTGATGATGGATTGGATCCAGCATCCGAAGAGTAGATTCTCGCGCAGAGCCATAAACAATGCAACCGTAGTCCAGCTTAGAGCAGACAAGGGCCCTATAAATCCTGAGCATCGACACTTTGTCTGCTCCCCAGGATAAGCAGCATAGTACCTTTAAAAAGTTTAAAAATTTTAAACATCTACTCTTCAGGTTGCGGAAGTGTGGCAAAAATGTCAGTTTTTGGTCAAAATGAACACCCAAAAACTTAGCCTCATTCACCATTGGAATTTTATCCCCGTTTAAGTAAATTTCTGGATCCAGTTGCATAC